TCGTGTCCATCTCACACTATGCAAAAACTCAATGCACATAAAAGGCCCTAAAATCTGGAATTCATTACCTGTAAATATAAAAGAAACACTACCTGTTTATAAATTCAAGTCTCTTCTCAAAGATCACTTACTCACCCAAACCAAATAAATACTGAATAACTGAACCTTATAAATTGTATTATCTTAAATGTTTCTCACAATTTATCACATAAATGTTAAACCTAAAACCCAATCTAACTTTATTATTTTTTAAAATTTACACTACCTAACAGAATACTCCATATGACTGAATGTACAACAATGCATGCAACCATATGACCTGTCTTTGTAATACTCACTTGTGCTTTATAGTAATCTGTTTACATTAATGTTTTATCACTGATTTCATCATTGCTTAGTTAATCTTAAGTTAATTTTAAGCCAGCTGGTAATGCTATGCATAGTATAAGTGGCTTTGGCATGCTGCTCTTATCTGTATTTTTTTGTACCTCTGTATGTGTGCTCAAATTGTAAATAAATAAATAAATAAATAAATGGGCCTGTGTGGTCAGTGTGCACCATATAAAAAAAATCCTGAAGCACGCAGTGCATAATGAGAAAAAAAAACTCCGACTGTTTTTTTAATTAAAATGCCGAATTTGTGGTCTATTTTCGTATAGTATTTATGGTTGTATTCTCGTTTTCTTGATCTCACTTGATAGAATGGAAAACATATAATATAAATAGAGGTGATTTTGGTTGGTTTTACTATAAAAAGAACCTGGAAATGGAGCTCAAAGTAGGGAAAATGTTTGATTTTTGCCAATGTTCAAAAGTAAACAAATGATGTCATTGTCCAATAAATGTCCAACTAGCCATTCTAATATGCAGTCATGAATGGGTTGACATTATCTGTACAACTATTACAATATTGCAGTAGTCTGCATAATAGTAAATCTTCTATTTTTTGTTTGAATAAAAATTCAAAATAGAAAGCAAGACTAATATCAGAAGGGCCTGGAGACATGATTGATGAACAAAGATGTTATTTTAGAGCCAGGAATGTCTGCATTGTTCATTCTGAACCTTATTTTGAAATTGTCATATTTTTTAATTTTCATGAAATTGGCCAAATTGCAAATTTCTGACCACGTTATTGGGTAGTTGAAATTGGTAAATGGGCAGTTTCTTGTGCTCAATCGATAGAAAAAATGGAGTTCTAAAGAAATAGCTATGAGTTTGGTCGACTGGAACAGTGGAATTAGCCGAAAATAGGGCTCAAAGTGGGCGAAATCGCCAATTTGTAAATACTGCCGAGGTCACTAACTTCGCAAGAGCGTAATTCCGTCAGTTTTCCATCAAATTTCGTTTTTTTGGTGTCATTACGATCGGGAAAAGATTCTCTATCATTTCATATGAAATTTTTTTTTTCTTTTTTTAATTTTGCGACACCCGGAGACACCTCAGGATTAGGGGTTGCGACAGTCAAGGGGTTAACACCTTTCGCAACATCAGCTTATTTGATTTGTTCTTTCTTTGCCAGGATAGAAGCAATGGTCGACTTGTTTTTCCCATACATCCTGGCAAGCTCAACAAGTTTCACACCACTCTCATACTTCTGTATTATTTCCTTCACATCTATGGTGTTTCTCACTTTCTTTACCACAGGGGTACCACTAGCATGTTTCTTTGGGTCCATGGTAGCTTATTTCACAGTCCCACAAGCACTGAACACAATGAATTAATCATAAAATGTTTGAATGAGACCGCAGGTTAGTGTTCACTCAAGCATCAACAAAACCAGACTGGCTCATGGTGCCTGCGTGGAGACGTGGACAGAGTGGGCTGGTGGACAGGTCCGGTACCCGGCAGTTTGAAAAAAGGGGCGAGTTTCATAATGTTGACAAAGTTGGTTCGAAAAAAGAGGTTGATTTTCGAAGAGTTCAGTAAGCGATATGTTTGAAATCTGAGGTTTACACGTTTACAATAATTTAATAATAAACAAACACAATGAAATTATTTTTTTCATTAGGTTCAGAATTATTTTTTTGCAAAATTATTGCATTCACAAATTTTTGCTTGCCTTATTCTGCAAGAAGAGCATTGCTATTTTTCCCATTTAAGCCAAAATCGCAAGTTTTACCTATTTGGCACGACATATATATAATTTTCCACAAAAAAAAAAAAACATTTTTATCTTTTTTTGTTCTGCCACATCGTTGTATTCCTCTCAAAACAATCTACACCAAATTTTAAACATTTTTTAGATTCATTTATGGGTGCCTTAATGACCTCTAATTTTCTTTCCCCCTTCCCCATAAAACTGCAATTCCTGCTTTATTTGAGAAAATCAAGAGCAGCAAAACTTTTTCATTTCAGCAGCAATATCATAAAGAACTAAGAAGAATAATAATAATTATTATTATTATTATTATTATTATTGTATTTTATGCTGCTGCTGCTGTTCAAAAGAATAATTCTGTAAAGCTTAATTTTTCTTTTTTTTAGCTTAAAACGAAGGCAGCAAAGGGAAGAGGCAAGAGAAAATCATAAATCAATATCCTGCCTGATCAGTGGACCACTTTAACCCTTTCAGGGGGTTTCCGACGTACTAGTACGGCTTACGCACCAGGGTTATTGACCCCAATGGAAATAAGTCACTCTGTCTGACTTTTTTGGGTTATTCTAGGTTCTCTACACATCTGCTGCTATGTATGATAATTCTATGTAACTGTATTTGTGTATACCTGAATAAACTTACTAGTATGCATAAATTCTAGTGCCTTCAAATCTAGTGAGAGAAAGCTGGTAGGCCTACATATGAAAGAATGGGTCTATGTGGTCAGTGTGCATGGTATAAAAAAAATCCTGCAGCACACAGTGGATAATGAGAAAAAAAAAACTTCGACCATGTTTTTGGTTTAAAACAGCGACTTTGCACTGTATTTTCATAGGGTATTTATGGTTGTATTTTAGTTTTCCTGGTCTCATTTTATAGAATGGAAGACATATTACAAAAATTGAGATGTTTTGATGGTTTATAATGAAAGTCCCTTAAAAATTGAGCTCAAAGTGCAGAAATGTTCGTTTTTTCCCAAAAGTTTAAAGGTAAAACAAATCATCCCCAAGTGCCCAAATCCCGTCGATGGCGAGTTATATTCTTCACGAGTGCCTGATATTATTTATTCATTTTTTCATAATGCAGTAGTCTCATAACAGTAATCTTCTATTTTTTGTGAGAAAAAAAATTCAAAGTAAAAAGAAAAGAGATGTAAGAGGGGCCGGGGGATTTGTGCTAATGAACAAGAAATGTTATTTATTGCCGGAATGCGTCTTGTTTTTTCTGGACCTTTTTGGAAATTAGCATCTTTTAAAAATTTGTGTGAAACTAAAAAAATTTCCCCAATTTTGATCATGTTTGGATGTTAAAATCGGTAAATGGGGGTTTCGTTGCTTTTCGATAGAAAAAAAAAGGAGTTCTGCGAATGATTGTTTTTTGTCGATAGTACACGGAAATTGGCAAAAACAGGGCTAAAATTTGGGGGAAATCCCGATGCTAAAAACGTCGAGACCGCTCTTCATGAGAGCAAAATTTCCCAAAATTTTTCCATCAAATTTCATACTTTTGTGTAATTATGTCAGGAAAAATTTTTCTTTCATAAGAAAAAAAATAATTTTTTTTTTCTGACCTTTGAACAATTTAGGGGGGGCCCCCTCGACCCTAAAAGGGGAATAAACAATTTTTTAAAAAAGCACTGTGATAAGCATGAAAAAACTGTATTTCCCTTTCATTTTCCAATTGGAACAAATTAAGCACAGGCGAACCCAAAATGTCACAATTTTACTACATGTAAAAAAAATACTGGGTAGAAAAAACTATAATTTACTAATTTTTCAGTACAAACTTTCTCAACCAGACTTTGAGATAGTTTGTGGAATAAATTTGATACAATATCCTCTACCCTCCTGTATGGTATTTTATACATGTGATTTTTGGGACATTTTTTATATTTTTTTCAAATGCCTCAGATTTTAAAAGTATTGTTTAAAGGTTTAAACCTGAAGTTGATAAAAGTCCATAATATTAACATTTGCCATTTTACTTGTTCTACAACAGATACTTTTTTAATATATAATTATTTTGGTTTGAACCCAAAGCTTTAAAAAAAGTAGAGAAGGATCACTGCAATAGCTAATATACTACCACATAAACATTAAGCTTAATCCCCATAAGCTTGAAGCATCCCTAATAACTGTGTGGTTAGTGCTTCCTTGTGTTAAAATTTAGCATGCATTAACACTCTTAGCAACAAAGCCATAATATTGCAAATGTTTCTCCTGGTGATTTTTATACTGTGTCTATTCATTGTATGCTGTATGTAAAAGCTCATACAAAAGTCTTATAAAAATAATCAGATAATTTAATAGTGACAGACATACGGGGTACTAAGACCATCTGAACTGTGGCAAAAAAAACTGTGAATAAAAATTAAGATAAAATTAATATAGCAAAAATATTTTTTAATTGCAATTGGTTTTATTTTTTAAAAACAGGAGGGCCCCACTTTACAGTGCTTCACTTTACAGCATTTCACTAATGGAGCAGTTTTAAATTATGCCCATTCTTCATTTATTCAGACTTCCTACTATAAATATATTCACTACTCACTATAAGCTAAGGATGAAAATATTTTAAGGTAAGTAAAGTGTGTACTGTATGTCTATGATTTTTTTTAGGCCTAGCTCTAGTGCTCACTTAATATATGATAGTGTAAGCATTTTATCATGCTTTTATATGCAACTATAAGTGAAAAAAGGTATGTTTCACTTTAGAACAGTAGCCTGGAACCTAACCTGTTGTATAAGCAGGGCCCCTCCTGTATACTGCTCCCAATAAATAGCATTTCAAGCTTCTTTTTTTTTTTTTTTTTTTTTTTTTTTTTTTACCAAAGTTCAAATACATTATGCCTCATACAAGCTATATAGTCAAACTACAGTATTAAAAAAAAAAAAAAACTCACCTGTCATATGTAACATTCATCAGTTGACGTTCCTGACCACTGCTGGAAGTCTTGAAGCCTACTCGCGATCCAACCGCAATCCGATGACCTGCCATATGAGAAGTGTTGACTCAGAACTAGGTATTTCAGGTTTGAATGAGGCAGAGCAAGCAACAGAAAAAAATCACTGCAGCAAACTGAACTAAACATGCATATAGTATTTTTGTTTTACGTTTTGTGCTTTTCCATAATTTTGGAGTAAATTTAATGCACCACATTGTACTGCTACACACATCTACATGACATTTTTAAGGCTAGAGTAATAACTATATTTATCTAATTCATTCATCACATAAAATACATATATACAGTAGTGGTCCTCTAGGCTGTTGTTTAACACAGTAGTTACGTTCCTGAAAACGCCATAGTAGTTAAAACCATGTTAGACAAACTGAAGAACTTATAGAGAAAATAAGGTTACGTTCCTGGTAGCCCCCCAAAAGCCAAACTAACTTTTTTTTTTAGACGAACAGATCTTACAAAAATAAAAGGGAATATGTAATATAATACGTAGTTAATTGTCGTGATGTATTATGGTGTTTTTACTGCTTAAGATTACAAATGCAACAAAAATAATAGTACTTCTTACCTTAAATTGTGGGTGCTGGTGTTTGTCATGACTGTGGAGAGTGGAGAGTTATGCTGTGGCCCTACTGGGCTGAGGTGGATGGTAGAGGTCCTGGTACTGAAGTCAATGGTTGTACTGGAGTGTGCATAAATTCTGTAATGGATTTCTGTTCTATTTTACCCCACAGTATATTATACAACTGACGGTAAGGCATCAGCTGCTCTAGATACCGTTTCAGGATCCTCTTCAGCAAAAAAGTCTAATTTTTAAGTAGTCAATAAATTAGTCAAGTCAGTAAATTAATCAGTCAGTCAAGTAAGTCAGTCAGTAAATCAGTAAGTCAGTCAGTCATCACACAAACTCATATTTACCTCATTCTTTTTATGTGCACAAAGTTACGCTTCATTATGGTCACAGGCTATCTCTTGTCTAATATCTCTATTTTCTTCGTTAATTCTAAGACTTAAATGCTTAAACCTTTTCTTGCCATTTTCACTTGCCACTTTCAGCAACACTTGTATGCCAACTGGGTGTCATGACTGCTTGGCGGATTTAAGATATGGCAATAAAAAGATCTAAACTCAATCCACAAACAAAAATAAAGGACACTCGAAATTTTTTCCCCTCCCGCAAACTGAACTGTGTCAAGTTAATTTTACGAAGTGTTATACAAAAATATGCCGCAATTCTTCAATAATGCTATAACCAAAATGTGCCAAACAAAACCACGTTAAACGATGGTCTACTGTACAATAATTTTGAGTTACAATTTGCCCTCGTAAAGAAATTTAATGGTGAATTATGATGAAAAATTTGAAATTTTGAGATAAGTGTACGATGATGATGGTTAACTGGAGGGCATGGGTGGGCCTCAGCCCAGAGACAAGACAGGGCGATGAAAGGGTCTTAAATGGAGTGGTGTGGGAGCGAGACCAGATGTGGATAGTGGAAGACAGTGACAACAACAGTTATAATACATAAGACTACAATTCTTTACCAATCTGCCTGCCTGCCTTCCTACCTGTATACCTGGAGAGGATTTTGGGGGTCAACACCCCCATGGCCTGGTCTGTGACCAGGCCTTGCGGTGGATCAGAGCCTAATCAACCAGGCTGTTACTGCTGGCCACACGCAAGTTGACATATGAACCACAGTCCAGCTAGTCAGGTACCGACTTTCTGTCCAGCGCCTTCTTGAAGACAACCAGGGGCCTATTGGTAATCGCCCCTTATGTATGCTGGAAGGCAGTTGAACAGTCTTGGGCCCCTGCAATCTTGCCTGCTCTAACTTGCTCTACCTGCCCTGTCTTGCCATGTCTGCTATGGTCTGCTTGTTTGCTTGTATTAATGGTAAGATGGTGGAGAGTGAGTTGGGAGTGGGAGGAAGGAGTGTGTGGGCAGAAGTAAGGGAGAGACCATACATATACCAGACTTGGACTGGGAAGCAGCAACAAGAAGAATGCAACTAAGTCTACAAATCTTTACCAATCAGCCTGTTTTTGTCCCTGCCTGCCTGCCTGCCTGCCTTCCCACCTGCCTTCCTATATGCCTGCCTCCCTACCTGCCTACATGCCTGTCTACTTGTCTCCCTCCCTCCATCTGTTCACCTGCCTGCCCTGCCTTGCCCTGCTTCTGTCCTGCCTTGTCCTATCATGCCACCTTGCCTGGGCACAAGCCCATGAAAGATAGGCTTATCTGCTGTTGGGTGCCAATGTCTCAGAATATTTCAAACTGCAGAGTGTTTAAATAAAAAGAAACCAAGAGAAGATTGAGTGTGTTCTGGTGTCTTGCAATGAATTACCCTATGGTATTTTTTGGTCTGAGTTACAATATATTGAAGATACAATAAGTCTTCTGGAACAAATTAATATCATAACTCAAGGGATCACTGTGTTATATATATATATATATATATATATAATATATATATATATATATATAACACACACACACCTACTATCCGACTTACGACCTGCTCGACTTACAACCACCCTCGACTTACGACCGTGTTTTTTATGCCAAATTTCTGGGAAATAAACAACTATTTGTGTTGTACACAGCGTTTATCCTAAACCTTACACTATAAAATACAGTACTAACAGCATAAAAAGTAAAGCAAAACATGAAATACCAAAATAAAACAATAAAATAAAGTCATTACAAAAATGTTTTGTTGATATTCAGTAGTAAAGTTCGACTTACGACCATTTCGACTTACGACCGGTTTCTCGGAACCAAATGTATATATACAGTGGACCCCCGCATAGCGACTTTAATCCGTGCAAGAGGGCTCATTGTTATGCGAAATGATCGGTATGCGAATGAATTTTCCCCATAAGAAATAATGGAAATCAAATTAATCCATGCAAGACACCCAAAAGTATGAAAAAAAAATTTTTACCACATGAAATATACATTTTCCTACACACGAAGAGAAGGATACATGCACAATAGTAGAGTAGTACATGCACAATATATATTGTGCATGTACTACTCTACTAAATGAAGAATAAATGACACTTACCTTTATTGAAGATGCAGCAATGACTGATGAGACACTGTGTCCTGGGAGTGCCTTTTCCTCTAGAACAGGCCTTATCACACTGTGTATGCCACTACGATTCTTAAATCTCTCAAACCAACCTTTGCTGGCTTTAAATTCACCAATATGAGCACTAGTTCCAGGCATTTTTCCCTGTTCACCTGGGTGTTAGTCGACTGGTGTGGGTTGCATCCTGGGAGACAAGATTAAGGACCCCAATGGAAATAAGTTAGACAGTCTTCGATGACACTGACTTTTTTGGGTTATCCTGGGTGGCAAATCCTCTGGGGTTAATTGTTTCTTGGTATTCTCAATAAGCCACACCAACAACGGTGCTACAGCAGCAGCAGCAGCAGCTGACAGTGCTACAGCAGCAGCAGCAGCTGACAGTGCTACAGCAGCAGCAGACAGTACTACAGCAGCAGCTGACGGTGGTACAGCAGCAGCAGCAGCTGACAGTGCTACAGCAGCAGCAGACGATGCTACAGCAGCAGCAGACGGTGCTACAGCAGCAGCAGACGGTACTACAGCAGCAGCTGACGGTGGTACAGCAGCAGCAGCAGCTGACAGTGCTACAGCAGCAGCAGACGATGCTACAGCAGCAGCAGACGGTACTACAGCAGCAGCAGACGGTAACCACAGCAGCAGCAGCAGCTGACGGTGGTACAGCAGCAGCAGCAGCTGACAGGTACGCAGAGACGAGTGCTACAGCAGCAGCAGACGGTACTACAGCAGCAGCAGATGGTACTACAGCAGCAGCAGCAGCAAGCAGCTGACGGTGGTACAACAGCAGCAGCAGCTGACGGTGCTATAGCAGCAGCAGCAGCTGACAGTGCAGCAGCAGCAGCAGCAGCTGACGGTGATACAGCAGCAGCAGCAGCTGTACCACCAATAGTAGCGATGGTTGATTGGGGTTTATTATACAACCTGGCCAGCTCGGAGACACGCACTCCACTTTCATACTTATCAATGATCTTTTTCTTCATCTCTATAGTAATTCTCACCCTTATTGCTGTAGGGTTGGCACTAGAAGCTTTCTTGGGGCCCATGGTCACTTATTTTGCAGATAAAATCACCAAAAACACTGTGATAATACGAAATGTTCCGATTGTATGCTTGGATGTTACCGCGGAGGCTGGCTGGTAAACAATGCCACCGGCGGCACATGTGAGGCTGGCTAAGGGCGCACATTGGACGCGTCTCGGACGAAGAGCGGTGAGCGGGTTTTTGAGCAGTATGCGAGGCAAAATTTTTGCGATAAAAGCGAGCGGTATGCAGATTGTACGTTATGTGATGGCGATGGTATGCGGGGGTCCACTGTGTATATATATATATATATATATATATATATTATATATATATATATATTATATAATATATATATATATATATATATAATATATATATATATATCTTTCAACACACCGGCCGTATCCCAACCGAGGCGGGGTGGCCCAAAAAGGAAAAAACGAAAAGTTTCTTAATCTTTTACATTTATAAGTATATAAGAGAAGTAGGTTATAGCCCCTTGCTCCCGCATTTTTATTTTGCATCTTACAAAACGCATGCTTACGGAGGAAGAATCTGTTCCACTTCCCCATGGAATAAGAGAAATTAATAGAATAAGCACTAGAAAAAATAGAAAAAACCCATAGGTGTGTATATATGTGCTTGTACATGAATGTGTAGTGTGACCTAAGTGTAAGAAAAGAGCAAGACGTACTGAAATTTCATGTTCATGAGACAGAAAATTGGACACCAGCAATCCTACATCATGTAAAACAATTACAGCTTCGTTTCACTCACTATGGCAGGACGTAGTACCCCTGGGCGTTGCTGTCTTACCAACCTACTACCTATATATATATATCTATATGATAATATATAATATATATATATATATATATATATTATATATATATATATATATATATATATAA